AATTAATGTAGGAAAGAAAAATAACATTAATTGACCAGTGTTGAAAAGTAATTAACAAGGGAAAAAAAATTAAAAGAAAATTGTGATCCCAATATCTTTGACTAGGAAAAAAACAATTTTTTTTTTGGTCAACAAGATCTTTGTTCAAATTAGGAAAAAAACAGTTAATATATATATTGGCATTCTTATTCAGTTTTGGTAAAGAAAAACTCATTAGAAAGAAGAAAAGTTTGGGAGAGAATATCATAAAAATGGCTATCAATACAAAAACATTAGTGACATTTTGTTTTACTGTCTTCTTCATACTAACTTTTGTTCAATGTCTTCCTATGACTCCTATTGAAAATCCGGGTAATTATTTATCGGAATTTATATATTAATTTACCTTTTTGTAATTATGAACATGATGATGATTTCATAACTATTTCTTGTTAATTATTGATTAATGTTTTTTTTTGGGGTAAAATATTGAATAATTAGTTGTTAATTAATACTCATGTATAGGTTATGGAGGAGAGCTTAGGGAAACGGCATGCTGGGATGATGCTGGGTGTCAAATGGGACATAATGGACCATGCGATCGTTTTTGTAAACGTACTTACTGGAGTTACGGCCTTTGTCTTAAACGCAGATGTTGTTGTATTGATGTTATTCCCACTCCTGGCTAAACTAGTGCTACTGTTCATCTATATTATATAAAGATCGATGAAACTATCTTTATATAATTGAATGTATTGGTATGATCTGCTTAATAAAATAAATCAATAGTTTTAATATACATAAGATCTAGAGCTTGATTTTCAAGAAATGTTACTAAATCGAAGTTAACTTGATTTTCAAAAATATGGATTTGAATTAACAACCAAGTCCAAAAAAAGAATTCAAAAGGAAATAAAAAGAGCATTAAAGTATTACAAGACAAACAAAATCGTTTTTTTTCTTTTTCCGTTTCCATAATTTGTAAACGTACTTACTGGAGTTACGGCCTTTGTCTTAAACGCAGATGTTGTTGTATTGATGTTATACCTACTCCTGGCTAAACTAGTACTGCTCTATATTATATAAACTATTTGTTGACAGCGTTTTTATACCTAAACTATGTTATTCGGCAAACATCAATCTAAACTCACTAAAAGTTCAAGTTCCCAACTTAAATTATATGAAATTAACCAAAATTAACGTGAATGAGTCAATCGACACCGTGACAGTGACATGGCATCAGAATTGAGTGAAACGACGATGTTTTAAGAGTTCATGATTCTCAAATCGAAGATTCGATGGATAATTGTTTTAGCAATTCTTTGATTTGAAAACCCCAAACTCACGAAACGACGTCGTTTTACTTAACTTTCATGTCCTGTCATGACCACGTTTCAGCGATAAGGTATCGGTTACCTTATCGCTGTTAAGCTGTTAACCAACACTGTTTCAGCATATGTTGATTTTGGATAATTGCACATATTCATATAGTTTAGGTTGAAAATTTGAATTTTAAGTGAGTATAGGTTGATATTTGTCGGGTATTGTAGTTTGAGTATAAAAACGCTGCCAGCAAAAACTCTAGGTTGATTTGACCATTTTTCCATACCGCCTAGCGCTTTCTTGACACTATCAATGATTAATAACTATTTTGATTCCTATATATATATATATATATATATATGTTTTAGTTTCTTTTTTTTACTTTTGGTTTCTAAGACGATCTCTACCAAGTGTTATCTTGCTACAACTCTGTCAATCATTTAAAGAAGGTATACTATAGCTTTGTCAAAAGAAAGTTTAATAAAATTTGGCTTATCTAGTCAATCAATTACAGTTGTTAACCAAAAAAAATTAGTAAAAAGTACTAAAATATTTGAAAACTCTACAAATTTATCATAAAATTTGAGCAAGGCTTTACCCTCATAAAACTATAACTTGTAAAACGAGACATATTTTGTTGTCAAGCATAAAATTATTAATTAATACAGATAATTTTGAATATTTACAACCATACGAACTTTTAGTCTTAGATATTATATTTAAAGAGTTTAACTAAATATGCTGAAAACAGTTACCTAATTAATGCATAAAAGAGCTTTTAGATATTATATTTAATAAATTTACTAAATATGCTAAAAATAGATACTTGATTATTGTAGAAAATAAAAATAACACTACTTGACCAGTGTTGAAAAGTAATAATTAATAAGGGGAAAAAATTAAAAAGAAAATTGTGCAATATCTTTGACTAGGAAAAAACAGTTAGTATATATATTGTATTGGTATTGTTATTCAGTCTTGGTAAAGAAAAACTCATTAGAAAAAAAGAAAAGTTTGGGAGAGAATATTATAAAAATGGCTATCAATACAAAAACATTAGTGACATTTTGTTTTACTGTCTTCTTCATCCTAACTTTTGTTCAATGTCTTCCTATGACTCCTACTGAAAATCCGGGTAATTGTTTATTGTAATTTATATATTAATTTACTCTTTTTTTGTAATTATGAACATGATGATGGTTTCATAACTATTTGTTGTTAATTATTGATTAATGTTTTTTTTGGGGTAAAATATTGAATAATTAGTTGTTAATTAATACTCATGTATAGGTTATGGAGGAGAGCTTAGGGAAACAGCATGCTGGGATGATGCTGGGTGTCAAATGGGACATGGCGGACCCTGCGATCGTTTTTGTAAACATGATTACTGGAGTTACGGCCTTTGTCTTAAACGCAGATGTTGTTGTATTGATGTTATTCCTACTCCTGGCTAACCTAGTACTACTGCTCTATATCATGTAAAGATCGATCGATGAAACTATCTATATATAATTGAATGTATTGGTATGATCTGCTTAGTAAAATAAATCAATAATTTTAGTATACAGAAGATCTAGAGCTTGATTTTCAAGAAATGTTACTAAATCGAAGTTAGCTTGATTTTCAAAAATATAGATTTGAATTAACAACCAAGTTCAAAAAAGAATTCAAAAGGAAATAAAAAGAACATTAAAGTATTACGAGACAAACAAAATCGTTTTTTTTTTTTTTTTCGTTTCCATAATTGAGTTAATGTATTCTAATAATTTCATAATTTTCTTCCACATCATTTATAGGCTAAAAATTTTCTTTACTTCTAAAAAAAAAATACTAAATTTAATAATTAACGTTTCCTCACGCTTGTATATAGATATCCACATAATTGATTTAAGTAAGTGGCGTATTTCCAAAAATATTTATATACAAAAAGCAACGAAATATCTTTTTATAAAGATGAAAATTCTTATGTGCATATTTACAATTTTATGCTAAAATGGAAACAAAATATCAACCATGTAAGTTTGGAAATATATATACCACCGGGGACAAAAATGTGATATATTAAATAGTATAAGACTGTATTCGTTCTGGAACCCTAATGATCGATCATATTGTTGTCTTCTTCTTCGTTTGGCCAAAGAGTAATATTGGGATTTTTATTTTGCTTAGGGGGTATGGATTATTCAGGTTACCCAGAGAGTTGCCTTAGGTTCTACAAGTGCATATATGAGATGGTGAATGATCCTTCATCGGATTCAATCATCTCATGGGGCAAAAGCAACAACAGTTTCGTTATTAACGATCAGGAAGAGTTCATTCGCAGGAACAAGAAGATGTTTTCCAGATTCTTTTGCAGAAACTTCACTGAGTTTATCTCAAGGCTTAATTTTTATGTAAGTAATTCGTTTTTTCTATTTTGCAAACACGAAAAAAAAAACACTGATTGATCATTTATAAACCAAAGTACTGATTGTATATGTTAAACTGATTGATGATATTGTTGTTGTTGGTACATGTTAGGGCTTTAAACAAATGAATGAGTCTTCTGGGCTGTGGGAATTTGGTGATAAGTATTTTGTGAAAGGTCGTCCTGAGCTTATGGTGGAGATGCATAAGAGAGTTTCCATGAAGAGGTTTGCTGAAAGCTCTAAACAAATGGAAGCTAACGCGAAAGTGCAAGAGGGATCTGAAACATCAACATCATCATCAATTCATCATGATGATCATGCTTGGCTCTCTAATCAGGGCTTGTTTTGTTTCAGTTTCTTTCTTGTAATCAAGAATTCAGTGGCTTCGTGCCTTTGTTGTAATTGATATGATGGGCATTTTCAGACAGCTCATTAATGTTATGTTTTGAAAGAGTTTTTCTCTTAGAAAGCTGTTTTTATTATTGTCCGGTTCCAACCAAATCTTTGCTAGTAGCGGCAGCTGCAACCTGGTTAATCCCTAGCTAGCTATAAGCAGCCAGCAGGTTACTAAACTAATTTACTCTGGGTTTAGAGCCTGTGATCGTCTTTAATTTGTAAAACACTAAAATATATATATTTTTTGTAAAACCTTTTCACGTGAATATGCTTAGTAAATGTGTTACATATTGACATTATTTGTTGTTAATCGCATGAGTCGTACGTATAGAAGAATCTTCTGATTCTTGATAATGAAAATACCATGGAGATTTTTAGAGTTTATGAGAGAACCTTAAATGATAAAATCTCATATCAACCGTTAATTGTTACATATAGCTCTTAACGTTAAAATCAGCATACTATTATTTGATAAATAGTTACTGTATATACCAGTAATTTTGAATTTTAACAACCATCAGAACTTATTCATAATAGTTTAAAAACTTAACTAAATATGCTGTCAAACAATAATATTGTCTGACCTGTTTTGAAATGTATTAAGGTAAAAAAGTAAATTTCTATTGGGAAATAAATTAAAAACTGTATTATTGTGCATCTTTGACCAGGAAAAATAGAAAACAATTAAAAACATTTTTGTCTTGTTAATTATATATATACTGATCAATCTAGGTAAAAAAGTAATTTTCTATTGGGAAATAAATTAAAAACTGTATTATTGTGCATCTTTGACCAGGAAAAATAGAAAACAATTAAAAACATTCTTGTCTTCTTTTATTATATATATAGTGATTAATCTAGGTAAAGAAAGAACTTATTAAAGAAAAACTTTGGGAGAATACCATTAAAATGGCCATGATCACTACAAAAACTTTAGTGACAATTTGCTTTACAATCCTCTTCATCATATCTTTTGTTCATTGTTTTCCTATGAGTCCTGCTGGAAGTCCGAGTAAAAATGTTTACGTTTTTGTAATTATGAATTATATATATGTTGATCATTTCACTCTTTTGTTAATTGGGTTACTGTTTATATTGTGTATGTGTAGGTTATGGAACAGGTCCTCAGAGAATAGGACGTAAGAGAATAACATGTTTTGGCTACCCTGTGTGTAAATCCGCAAGAGGGTTAGGAACATGTGATCTTTTTTGTAAAAGACTAAAATATGATTATGGCATGTGTACTAATGTAGATGTATGTTGTTGTGTTGATTTTATAACTAACTAGTATGCGGCTCTAATTAAGATGAAATTATTTCATAAAATGTATTCGTATCTGCTTAACAAAAAAAACAATAATTTTAATATACAGAAGATATCTAGAGCTGAGTATACACACAAACTTTACCAAATCATGATTTAGCTTGACTTTGAAGACAAAGTTTTTCTACAATTTTTATAGAAGCTAATATTGAATCAAAAATATAACTTAATAAATATTGAAATGGCAAAATAATTAAAAATTATTGCCACACCAGATAAACAATAATTATTGATTTAGATGGTAAGGATAAAATTGAAATTTTAAATTATCCAGAGGGAAATAAATAAAAGAATAGTATTATTTTGCATCTTTGATCATTAAAACAAAAATATAAACATATATCAGTCTTGGTAAAGAAAAGTTCATTAGAGAAAACAAAAGTAGGAGAATATTATAAAAAAATAAAATAAAAATGCCATCATATATACTACAAAAACATTAGTCGCATTTTGTTTTAAGATAATCTTCATCAATCTTTTATTCATTGTCTTCCTATAACTCATGTTGGAAATCCAGGTAATTATTTTACCGTAATTTATACCTGATCAGTTTTGTAATTATGAACGAACATAACTATCTAATTTGTTGTTAATTGGGTTATTGATTAATCATGTATATGTACGTAGGTTATGGAATAGAGCTTAGAGAAATGAAATGCTACGGGTATACTTTTGTGTTCTTCTTCGGAAGGGTTAATTAAAATAATAAGAAGAAGAGCAAGACAATCAAAATCTTTGATCGCATCATATTTATTCTCTTTTTCTTCTAAACAACAAATATAGGTTTATTCTCAATTTTGTGTCCATTAATTTGTTGGTATAGTGTATTCTAATAACTTTGATCGAAAAGATGTCAGGAAGAAATTATGTCGTAATTTAGGCTGCCATGAAAAAAAAAAAAAAAAGGAACTTCTATTTGGACTATGACATTTGATCAATTTATTGTGATATTAAATTTATATAAATATTTAATATTTTATAGTCTAAATTAGATGTATCTTTTTAATTGTTTAAATTCTTAAATATTATGAATTGAGACGATTTTACAAACATTATATTAGATTTTTGGATATTATAAACTTTATGTTTTTGGGATGGAAATTTAAATAATTAGAAAAATTATTAATAATAAATTACAAATACTATAGGTAAATACACTTATACACATGACATACACAAATTTAATTTTTGGAATAATAAACTCATTTTCGTATTTTAATAGCCTAAAAACTATCAAAATGAAAATTATGCGTATTTAGAAATTAAAAACTTAAGGAAACTTATGACATTGGTATATAGGACCATATTTTTTACATAGGGATTTCAAAAAAGAAAATTCTTATTATTTTATTTGAGTTTTGCTAATTTTTACATTGACCCAGCTTGGAACAAGAGAATTTTATTATTTTATGGTATTTATTAATTTATGTAGCATTAATATATAGAGGTTTTACTGTACTACGTACATACAAGATTTATATCCAACGTACAAGATTTATATCCAATGTATTTTTCTCATTTTCGACTCCCATGGGTAGTGGTGTTGTTCTGGTTCTAGTGGTGGTATCATCAAGTCCGTCTGATTTAATTGAACACACTCTTCTTCTTGAAGTAATAAAGTTTAATAATAATGATACAACTTTTTTTTGAACAATATCAATTGTCGTCTTTTTCTAAGGAAGCAATGTCAATAGATAGGTCACTATAAGACACTATATGGTTGTTCCCAATTCACAAGAGAGTGAAATTTGATATTTGAACGCAAAGCAATCTGTTTATAAACGATTTATCCACGATACCGTAAGTATTTTATATATCATGTATCAATCAATAATCAATAAACCAATTTCCTATGATATCTTTTCTACTGTAGAGGAACACAAAAGATTAGATCCATGCCTCAATCATGTGTTTTAAAGAGTTGATAAATCGCTTTAACAATGCGTGGGAGCAGTTTAGTAGTGAAGAATTGGGTTTGAGACATAGAGTAGAGCTTTCTTCCTCAGATGATTCAGAGGAGTTGAACTGCGATCAACTTCGCTCAAATGATCATATCCTCCTTTTGTTATAATACTCAACTCTACTGATACTATGAATGCTCTTACGGGAATCCAAGATGTTGTGCAAGAAATCGATGGATTAGTTTATCGGGTCACATACGAGGGCTTTAACGGCTGGGTATTTTCTGAGGATGAAGCTGATACTGAGTGGTAATAAAATTGTATTTATATCAGATTAATCAAATTATATTTATTACTTCAAATGTCAGTGTTTGAGTTAACTAGTTTTCTTATGAACGATATTAATTTATATACTCATATGACTAAAAATTAAAAATATATACAAGTTTTTGTATAATTAGTTATTTCTCCTCAATATGTATAATTTGGACGATAATGTTCTTCCACATATAAATAAATTATTTATCGACACAATAAAATAGATATCAATGTTTTATTTATTTATCATATTAACTAAATATATTCATGTTATGCGATAAATATTTATTACAGTGTTAATTTCAAGTATTATGTATTTGCTAACGTGGTTATGTTGATAAAAATTCAAATAATATGTACATATATGATTATCAAATGTTATAATAAAAATAAAATTTGTTTTTTTCTGAAACTATACGCGAAAAGAGATTTTTTAATTATATGATAAAATTATATATATCATGTAAACTCATTTATCATACCATACACAAAAATAAAAATGTTATATCGAATATACTATTTTTGTGGTAAGATTAAATATATCATATAATTTTTTTATTACCATGCTAAGAAACATTGTATATCACATAATATAACTCATTAAAAAAATTATTACAACAGGTTAAGAAAATAACATGTCTCTTTAAATAACGGGTCAAAATGTGTAAATAATCACATAAAAAGGTCATTATAAATATAAGTTTTAAGAATAAACTAATAATAGTCATTAATGGTGGATTTAACCTATCTTTTGAACATTTTCCTCCTATCACATGTCCATCAACATCTTAGTTATTGTTTCATTAACAGCTCAAAATCTTGTTACTGGCTTCAGGAATGGTGAAACGAAACCTGTGATCTCTGGTTTTATTCTTTTTTAAGATACTCTTCTGGAGATAGTAATGTCACTCGTAATCTATAATCTCCGTAGTTAAGGAAGATAAGATGTTTTTGGCAATGAATTTGTAACTGTTTAATTGGAATCTCAGTTTCCATTTCTGCGATCATCAACTAACGTCTTCAGGCAAAGCCACAAGCTTATCAAAGCGTCATTTTAATTCTTTTTTAGTCCTAATTTGATCATCCCTCAGATTTTAATATATAGATAAGAGTTCAAAAATATCGAGCATCGGACCACGACTAAACTGAGATCGTAGTATTGTACAGCAAAATATAAGTAGCTAACAATCAGCAAAATTGATCTCATAATTTGAGCTAAGAACAAATTCAAAAAACAAGAAACTGGTGGGTGATTAAGTAAGAGAAATCAAGCAATGATCTCCTTTTTTAGCTTAGCAAGCTCCTGCCTCACGATACCAGCCCTCTGCAAAAGCAAAAAAAAAAAACAATAGGTTGCCCCTAGATTTTAATCATCAAAGTCAATAACATTTTGATGTTTCTTAATAAACCAAACTTCTAATACAAACCAAAATCAAATCAGTATCTAACAAAAACCACTATACCAAAAACAAACCCAAACACAAGATGATGGTGAATGTAGTAGCAGATACAGTTTTGAGATTGAAATAACATTTATCACTAAACTCAGCAATAACATAATCTGTACCAAAGACTATACATATACCAACCTTGATTTTAGCCAACATGACCTTGAACCTGTCAAAATCATTGAGGGCAGCTCTTCTCTTCTGCACAATGAGTTTCCTACCCCATGAACTCTTCTCCCACTTGTTCTTCACATCTGCAAACAAGTTCCACAGCTCATCATGACCCAACTAACCCAACAAGGCAATACAACATCGAAAGCAATGCTACAATATACTCACCAGCCTTCTCCATTGCCTCAATCAAAACCTTCTTCTTGGGAACTCTGTTGATATCAATGACAATGTCAGTAAGAGACAACCTCTTCAAATTCATCTGGATCCTCTCCATGTCAGGGGCATCCACAAGTGCCTAACAAAGAACCAAGACAAACAGAGAGACCCTTAGACGTTTCAAAATGAAACAATACAGAACCTTTTCAAATATCAATAATTTCAGCCAAAACCAAAATTACTACACCTAATTCACAACTATTGAACTAAACATATACAATACAAACTATATTAGATCACTGTTGATTACAACACCAAACCCTCCAAAAAAAAACAGAGCTTGAATATGAAATTACCCTGTTTTGGTCGACAACATCGACGATAACAACGAGCTTCCCGTAATCATTTCCGTAATTAACAAGGGCCACTCGCCCTATCTCCACGAATCTCTTAAAACCCTTCAAAATACACAAACAGAGGTTATAAACTATACTAATCTGAAATTACGAAGATAGCAAATTCCAAAGAGAGATAACCCAAAATCAAGGATTTTAACAAAAAGAGATCCGAAAAAGCTTTCAGAAACACTATAACACATGGATGGAAGAAGAACAATTCTCACCATTTTCGCCGGCTGGAAGAAACAGAGGGAAGCAAGAAGAAAATTGAACGAGCGGCGAAGAGACTTTATTTATGTGCCGAAGAGATTATTAGGGTTTTGATTGATTAAATTTAAGGCACATAGAAGCCCACTAATAATTTAAAAGGCCCATTACACTTACACGATGTCGTTTAGAAAGAACCGAAAACAAAACTAAAACCGATCGGTTGAATGTATAAATCGAAATCGAAGATACAATTTGGGATGGTTCGGTTAAAATGGCAAGAGTCCTCTCCTAGAAATAGAAAGATGAATAATGGAAGAAGAAGAAAGAAAGAATAAGAAAGACAGGGCATGTCTCTGAAGATCGTGGAGAGTCCGGCTGTTTAGGATCTCAATTCGAATCATCTCTGTAAAATGTATGTTCATAATCTTTGTAAATAAGTTTCAAATTGTTTAGTCTAATCGAATTGATCCAAATGATGATGTCGTGATGCTGAGTTTAAGATGTCTATATAATTGAGCCATGGGAGCTTCGTCGTTCTCGTTCTTACCTTGTTCTTCTCGTTCGTATCTTCCTTGTGTATTCGTTTAAAAGTTTTTGTTTTTTTCTCCGTTCTGATATGATGGGTTTTTATATATTGTATAGTTTGAGGTGTGATGAATCCAACAATGGTTTATGTGGGAGATGGGTGATGATTGCCTATAAAAGTACAAGTTTGGTGTATACAAAAAATATAGATTGAGAAGAAGGTTGAATGATTTGCTGTGGATTTATGTGGAAATCCGGAGGAGAAGATTTGCAAGGTTTCTATCCAGTTAGACCAGAATGTCAACCAGATGTTCCAAGGACCCGTTTTAAATCAAGGGTTTGTCTTATATCTTGAGGAATTGAAAAGTTATAGCCTTATCAGATCTCAAAAGAATTGCTCTTGTTTGTAGCCTTATGATATGATTTATCATTTGTGATATGTTATTTGCAGGCTGGGAAAACTCTAAGTGCTAGAAGATGGCACGCTGCGTTTACTGAAGATGGCCATTTGGATATGGAAAAAGTGCTCAGGCGTATACAGCGCGGAGTGAGTGCCGTGTTCTTGTTTTGTTCTATGCCCTTTTTGTTGTTGTTCATTTGGTTTCTTTGTTAGGGAATTCATCCCTCCATCAAAGGCGCTGTTTGGGAGTTTTTGTTAGGGTGTTACGATCCAGACAGCACTTTTGAGGAAAGGAACAGGCTGCGGAATCGCAGAAGGTACTACTATTGAATTGGTTGATCATGTCTGCTCAATCATTGACTAGTTCTGTAGATGTGCCATCACGTCATGGCTGAGTTTAAATTTATTGATCATCTAAGGGAGCAGTACGGTGCATGGAAAGAAGAATGTAAGAAAATGGTTCCTGTCATTGGTAGTGGCAAGTACGTCACAATGGCAGTGGTTTCAGAAAGTGGGAAGCCAATAGATGAATCTTCTGTGGAAAATCAAGGATGGGTCGTGAAAAACCAGGTTACAGATGAGAGAGTTCTCCAATGGATGCTCTCACTGCACCAAATCGGTATGCCATTATATATATAAGTTTAGGCCTACTGATTGTGTTCCTATAACATGTTTTCTTCTACATCTAATATGGTAAAATTTTGTTGTAGGCCTTGATGTTGCTAGAACAGATCGGTATCTCTGCTTTTATGAGAATGATACTAATCAGTCAAAACTATGGGATGTTCTTGCCATATATACATGGTTAAACCTTGACATTGGTTATGTTCAGGGTAAGTGTTCAGGCTGTTAACGATTAATCTTAAAAAAGAATAGAAACAGAACTGATTCACTTTGTCTATTCATTTAGGAATGAATGATATATGTTCCCCAATGATAATCCTCTTTGATGATGAAGCCGACGCTTTCTGGTGCTTTGAGCGGGGAATGCGGAGACTAGTAATAACTAATAACCTATGACATAACTTCTCATGTTTTATGTCATCACCAGACTATTGTATTCACGGCTTATTGTTTTTCTTGAATTTCAGAGAGAAAATTTCAGGGCAACAGCAACATCAATGGGTGTCCAGACTCAGCTGGGTGTGCTCTCACAGGTCATAAAAACAGTGGATCCTCGTCTCCATCAACATCTAGGTAAGAGTGTTTTGCTATTACGAACACTTCTCGAATTGGTGGGCTAAAACGTGTTAACATAACAGAGGATCTGGATGGTGGGGAGTATCTTTTTGCTATTAGGATGCTGATGGTACTTTTCAGGAGAGAATTCTCCTTCCTTGACGCTTTGTACCTTTGGGAGGTAATGACACTGCTTGTTCATATTCAAAATTTCTGCATTTCTACTATTAGTTCTTGGTTTTACTTGCTGTGATTGTTTCTGAAGCGGGAAACTATTGCTGTATGTTTATCATGGTGTTTTGTGTTTTCTGCTCTTTGGGTAATGAGAATAATGTGAAATGGATTATGATTGCAGCTGATGTGGGCGATGGAGTACAACCCAACCATGTTTGCAACATACGAGGAACTAGAAAACCGAAACAATGCAGCATCCGATCCCAAGTTACTAAAACGGTATGGCAAGTTTGAAAGGAAATACATAAACAGTGGGCAGAACGAGCAACATCGCAATACGCTTGCTGTCTTTGTGGTCGCAAGCGTTCTACAGACAAAGAACAAACGTCTGTTGAAAGAGGCTAAAGGCTTAGACGATGTTGTTCAGGTATGTCTCTTTATCTCTTCACTCTTTCTCTCAAAGCCAAAAAGGAAAAAAAGGAAACTGGACATCAAAGTTTAAGTTGGTTTGCAGATACTAGGAGACATTGCGGGTAATCTTGATGCAAAGAAAGCATGTAAAGAAGCGTTGAAGATCCATGAAAAGTTCCTGAAAAAGGTTTCTTTCACTCACTGTAACCTGAGGAAGATATGATGACATAGAGTTATACTAATGCAGATGTTGTTGTGTGTTTCTTGCAGGCTAATAGTAATAAGCAATAAAGATTTTGCTCAAAACCTCTACGCCACGACTTTATATATCAAACATATACTTGTACAGTTTTTGATCAGAAGATTGTTCATTGCCGGACAGAAGTTTCTTGAAAGGTTCTGGAAGGAGATCGATGAGAATGCTCTGATGATTAATATTTTCGTTAATTTACATTTTATGGTAAACTGTGTGCCGTTTTTAAGTTATACGAATGAACTACGTACAGGCCACTTACCTCCTTACATTATTTTACTCTTTTTCACATTTTTCTGTTTTGCATGATTGTATAATTTTAAGAAAATTCGTATAATGTATATAATGATTATTTTAATGAAACACTAGATTCGGACGGGATTGATTTCAAATCCAAAATTTAGTATTAAATTTTGACATATATTACGTACATACATGATTGTGTTTGTAAACGTAACTTTTAAGAATGTTATTAACATTTATAATTAAACCCGTACCAATTCCATATTTTTTTATTAGGTTAAACAAAAAAAACGATACGCTTTGTTTTAATTAAAAACAGCTGTACCTTAAAACAAATAGTAAAAGAAATGTGGCTTGTCAATTTCTGGACCAAAACTTTCTCCCGTGCATCCTAAATATATCAAATTTTCCATCTCATAACCATTTTAATTATTTACCCATTTGAAAATGTATATTTTAGTCAAACATATAAGAAAATATGTCAATGATTTAGACTTACACATAAATATAAGGTTTTGTTTTTAGATATATATATTCTCTATATCATTTATAACATAAACTAATATTAGTTTGCTTTCATAAAGTTTGTGAATGTCGGATCGACATGATAGCAGACCCAAATTGAGTGTGAACCGTGAGCTATCAAACATAATAAAAACAATAATAAAAAAAACATCTGATCCCGGATGTACTAAATATATTTGTTAAAAGGATCAAACACGTCCGCTATGCATGTTACACACTAAAAATATTTTTTACCCAATACAGATTAAAATATTTTGACCCGCAAAAAATACATTTCCTGTAATCCACATTAGTAAATAGTATGTCCGCATATGTTCTTCTTAAATTCACGTGACCAAATATTTGTGTCCCATATTCTATTAGGAATAGTTTAGATGATATTTTTTATGTTTCAAATTACCCGTACCAGTTATTTCATATTCCAATATTTGGAATAAAGTTGAATAATTAAAACTAAATATAAAAATTCAAATTTCATGTTCATGTATCATACATGTTATTTGATATTTGAAAATTGAAATTGAATTTACTTTCTTGATTTTATGATATCGTCTCGTTACTTTTATTTCTCATCATGCTTTTTATGAGAAATAGTTTGGATAATATTTTCTTTTTTCAAATTATCCGCTCCCGTCTCGTACCCATTATTTCCAATACAATTAGTTTTTTTTATAAATAACACCATTTACATGCTATAAAAAAAATATACGTGAAAATTTTAAAATAATCGTCCCAAAGTTGAATTTTACCAAATTAGTGAATTTTTATAGTTAAAAGATAACGACCAAATTTTTTCCTTATAAGTGTAAAACCATATATTATTTTTGAGGTAAACATAATTACGATTATGGACTACCTTAACAATGTTCTTTAATTGCATTCGTAATTGCTTTTTTGTTCCTATAATTACGTTAATTTTTTAATTAGAAATATCTATATTTTAGGTGATGGTAATTATTATTGTGTGCACATTTGATAAGTAGACATAGTTAATTAATTTTTATATAAACAATTCAAAATATGGTTAGTACATTTAAACTTGTATATAAGATTCATATTCTGAAGTTTTATATTGCTAAATAACTAAACGATCTCAAATATAGTTAGTATTTTATTGATTGAGCTGTTATATAATATGATCTAATTAATGAAGATTAAGATTTTTTAAAAAATATTTTCTTTATAGTGATTATTTTTTAAAAAAATAACCTGCAGAAAATTAGTTGGGAAGATCTAAACTCTAAGATTTTGACAATTTTAAAATCTGAATTTCTTAAAAACAATATTGGATAGATATGTTTAAAGGGTATTTGACTACAAATTTGGTTTTACGTAAAATGCAATTAGTTTTTAGTATTATATAACTTTTAAGTTTACATAAAATGTAATTATTTTTTAAGATTACATATTTCTTTTTCTTTTTATTTTTCCTAAAATATCATTTTTTCTAAATATATGATAAATTTTTTATTAAATTTTATAAACATAAATTACTGTTTTTGAAAATTTCAAAAAAATATATAATGTAGATAAAATATGTTAAATTTCGAATTTAATTGTCTAATTTTATGGTAACCAAATCTATATTATTTCCATAATATAGATTGTTATTATTATTATTATTATTATTTTTTTTAATTATTTTTTTGCTGTCTTTAATTCTGTTTGGTTACATGGTTGAGATTACATTTTATTTCATTTCTTATTTTTAATTATGTTTGGCAACACTTACAAAAAGTGCTCCCCTTTTAATAGTATAGATTCAATTTTATTTTCTATTAACAAATGACAAAATTACATACAAAAATTGAGATAATATTTTCGGAAATAAAAATTCTATTACAGCATAATAATTCACACATTTAATTTATGTGATAGAGAGACATAGATGTCTTTGTCTATATACAAAAAAAAAACGAAAAATCATGTTTTTGTAGAGTCCAATATTGAAAAAGACCAAACTATTAAAATTATGCAAACATCTCATTGCCATTTTCTTAATTATATAATTTAATAGTTGAACTAAGACATTCTCTACATACATTGAAGTTTATTAAGATAAAAAAAAAATGAGACAAAAAGGCAAAATAAATGATTAATTATACATTTGATGGAACAGAAAAAACGTAATTCTATATATTAATTCTAAATTTTGATATGATTGATTTCAGATAGTAATAGAGAAACAAATTTGTAACCATCAGATTAACGAAAAAATTGGTTTAAACAAACATTTTTGCACACTCCTTTTTGCAATATCGCCTTTCTATGCTCTCCACCCATCATTCAAAATTTTCAAACAAACATTTTCTTATTTTCCTTCATTTTTTGGTTTCTTAGTTTCTTCGTTTGATGTTTTTTTTTTCTTCTCTCCGGAGGTATGAGGATTTTGTAGATAAATTTTAAAACAATTTTGTATATCTTTCCTTAAACTTTTTTTAATCCGTATAAACCTACAAGTTTTAGATGAACTCTTGTTTCTCTCTAGACATTATTTTGGGTCTAGAGCTATAGACGATGTTTTTCTTACGTATCATTTTTGGTTTCCTCAATTTTTAGTGTCACCAATTAAACTTCTTATAATTTCTGGGAAAAGTGAGGTTTGAAAACAAAAACAAAAACTAGTTTCCGGGGAATACATCATCTTGTTCTTGCATGGAATGATAATTTCCCACCCTTCTTCTTAGTATATGATTTAGACAAAAACAAAAGAATCAAAAAAACCTAAAAAGAGAGATCTATGCAACTCACAATGTCAAGCTCCAAGATGAAAAGCCTCTTAAAAGGGCTCCGATACATCTCTCAAGTATTTGGTAAGTTCTGTTTACCCTTGACCTCTTGTTTTCTTCTTCTATTTTCATATCAAAAATTTGTATTACTATGATAAAATTACGGAAATTTTTTTGCATGCATGCATTGTAAGTAGGTACGACGTTTGTGTGTGTGACTAGATGATTTAATCTTCCTTTTGTGTGTTTTGTTCGTGGTGATGATTAAAAATGATGGCAGAAAGTGAAAAAGAAGAAGAAATACAAATCGGGAATCCAACGGACGTAAAGCATGTTGCCCATATCGGTTGGGATGGACCATCCGCTAATGCCACCGCTCCAAGCTGGGTAACTATTTATATATACACTATGTTGTTACTTGTGTTTAATAATCTTGATAATATGGTAGAGAACTGATTTGGTTAATGTTATGTGATTTGAAAGATGACTGAGTTCAGAGCTGGGGAGGGTTTCGGGCCTGGTGAAGGAGGTGGAGAAGACGATTCCTCCGTGAAATGTACGTCAGAATATGGTGGTCGGTCCAGAGATTTACCAAAACTACCAAAATCTACGAGGAAAACAGTGTCGGAGAAAGGTTCTCCCACAAAAGAAATTAAACCATCGGACAAAACTAAACGCCGGTCTTCGAACAAAGGCACATCGTCATCGTCGAGGAGACAAAAGGAACTAGCGTCTGAGCAAGAAGACCTCTCTTCATGGTCTCGTGGATTACCGGAAGCTCCAAAGAAATCGAGGAGGAAGAAGAAGTCGTCGACTAGGTCAGAAACCATTAATGGAGGGTCTTCAAGATCGAAGAGAAGATCTGATGTGGATAATATGTCGGAGTATATGTCTGAGACTGGTTCGGTTAGATCAATGCCTCAATTCGACAATAGAGATGATTTTTGAAAAAGAGACTTTGCTGCTAGCTAGCTACCCGTACGTACGTACATGGTCAATAATCATTGAACACATGCACCATTACCATTTGTTAGATTTTCTTGTTCATTCCTTGTAATGTTTATTGACTAATATATAATGCACATATATAAGGAGAATTTAGAAAAATATAATTTTTTTTGGTGCAACCAAGTCACTTTGAACGTACATATTATAGATCATTGATATCATAAATACAAGAGAGCATATGATACACATTGTTAATTATTCTCAGTTTCCAGTAAACCAATAAGACTTTTTTTCTTTTTTTGTAGCTGCTTCGTCTCTTCCTTAATTAATGATAATTTTGCGGATTTGATATCCCTACTATAGTAAAAGAGAAGTACAAAAGTACTTTCGGGTCGGGTCAAAAACAGAAAATTAACCCGAAATTAAAATGATTGATACTTAATTTTTGGACTAAAATTTGGATATGGACATTAACTATTAAAAAAAAATCAATTACTAAAAATTCCCCTTATTTAGGAAACTATAATAATGATACATGCATATTTTAGAAATCTAAATTAATTGTGTATATTTAAATATAAATGGTGAATAACAATTGCACATTTTAAGGTAATTACGTTTCTCATCACCTAAAAAAGATCTTTAATATTTAGATAATATTCTAATTACCAAATAACTTTGTAATCTTTGATATAATGGTTAATCATTTGGAAATATGATTAAATACCCACCCAAAATATTAAAGTTTCCTAATACAGTATTAAAGACTACGATTTAATTATCCATTTTAAAATGAAAATATGAATATTTAAAATATATAAATTTTCAATGAACACAATTATTAATTGTAAAGTTTTAATAAAAATTAGCATTTAAAATAGCTTCCGAAAACTTATATTTGAAAACTATATTTTTGGAAATAATACTGACAAATTTAAATTTAGAAATAGCATTTATACAAAGAGATCTCAGTTTTAGAAAATATTCTAATAATCAAAACAATACAATATTGGTTTAGTTTTCTGATTATTTATTTTCGGAGATCTAATTAAATTTTATGATTCTAACAAACAATATCTAAGTGTGAAGATTTAATTACCTAAAAAAATATACAGATATATATATATATATAACAAGAATAAAATATTTTCATATTGAAAATAATATATTCATTTATTATTTTATACTCCTTATATACACAATATAAATAAATAACAAAAAACAAAAATTATTTATAGTAAATGAAATATTATTTATACTTTTGGAAATATAATAAATATTTTTATATTTTGTATTTTACTAAGCATGTGAAAAAAATTAATAAGTAATTACGTAATTTATGTTTTACAATGGGAAATTAAATTTCAAAATTATTCATTTAAATATCAATAAATTTAAAATTTAAAAATAAGTAATATATATTCATAAGGTAATCATAGTAAAATATGTTTACATGAAGAATTTGTTTCCTAATCTTAATAATATATTCCATCACATAAAATTTCTATAAGACTCCCAAATTAATTTTCTTTTATAATAAATGCTTACGAAAGTCAATTCAACAAATAAATTAATCCTAACGATATTTTTGGAATTTTTTAAAAAGTAAATCAACTTAAATTCGAAGACAAGTTAATCTCTATCAATACTGTTATTCATCTACCCAATTCATCTTTTCCTTATTTGAAAAAACTGGATCATTCCATATCCAAATTCTCTCTTCCTCATTTTTTATTAACATGGTTCATCTATATCATAAAGTTTATCATTTGCATTTTTGTTATTTTAGAATTTGCAAGTGAATGATTTATTATTCTTATTTTTTGGTATATATTAGCATTTCCCATCACTTTCATTGGATAATGCTTTTTCAAATATTATGCATTTATGTCGATGATATTTTTAGTAATACACGACTGGTTTGTAAACTAACAATCATATAGTTAAACGGGTTATGATTAATATTTTTTAAAAACATTTTTTAAGAGTTGGTCTGTTAAAACATACATACAATATAAGCGTGTATATTTTACAAGTGGAATCATTTAAAGTTTTCATATACTCGATTTCTTCTTTTATTATAACTTTTAATTATATATTAGATAAATATTTTCCCCCGCGCTGTAGCGCGGGTCCGTTTCTAGTTTATTATGTTAAAAACGTGCTTTTCTTTTGTTTTCTTTTTTCCTGAATTTATTGGCTGTATGTACTGTATGTTATATTTTTAGTACGTAGTTTTATTTTAGGTATTTTTTCTTTTCAAAATTCAAATCAAGTGATGTTCTCATTTTTCTATGTAAACATTTTCAACTTTTTTTTTGGTCTAGTTGTATTATTTATTTTTTATTTGTTATATATTCTTCTATTAAATAATAAGCAAAATTAAATATAATAACTACCAAAAAAACGTAAATTGACCTCAATAAATATGTTAGTCAAGTTGGTAATGTACTAACAAATAACAATTTAAGTTTGTGATATCGTTTCTCAAATATCGTTTGGAAAGTTGATGAAAATGTAAATCGACAATGTCATACTGTTGTTGTCAGCTATACGCCTATTCCGAATACATCGTGGAGTCTTAGAATCTTTGGTGAGATAGACAAAACCTATAATAATAGCATCCCACTAGCTTGTAGAATGTAAAGGAATCCACTGAGGTATGAGGTACGTTCGCAAATTCTATTATATTTGAAAATATACCATGATCCATGACCTCAAAAGAAAGATAAACATCATATTTCTGTAGACTTTGAGTATGAACAAATATCAATAATGCTTATTGTACAAAAGACATGATTTCAAAAGAGTACACCCATTTCATTATTCTACCAAGTATTATGAGGAGAAATTCTAAAAGAGGGATAATTGCAATAATTCAACATCTAAAATCACCTATTTCAAGATAATTTTATGCGAGACTATGAAAGGTTTACATCAAAATTTGTACAATTTTTTTTTACTCAAGGTTATATTAAATTTGGTTACTATATTTGGTGGACATACATGTACTATTTAAAAGTCACATACAATAAACTTCTATACATTGATAATATCAAAACCATGAAAATCTTTTAATTTATAAAAGTATTAATTTATCGATAAACTAATAATTATTATTTTGTAAATAAGTTTTCTAGTTTGATAATAGGGAAATTGTAAGTCATACCCTCAGTTGACCATTTTATTAAGTAAATGTCACTGATCTTTTTTTAATTAGGTAGATATTTTTTGGACGATTTTAACCCTACACACTTGCTGTACTGAATTTTTTTGGAACAAAAAAACGTGTTGTGGGCCATGATAAAGATGATGTGGTTGACGAAACTGATGACGCCGAGGTTAGCTGATTTTTAATACGTGTTACCGGATAACCAAATTAGTATACAATATGTGTTTCATTCAGTTTATTTCTTATTATTTTGTTATTTATTTGTTTTATACAGTTTTATCATACATATGTATTTACGTACTTGTATAAAATATTTATATTACCAGTTTATATAAATACTCAATTTAACGGATACTATGTAACTTACTGCGATAACATATTATTTAACATGTTTTAAAAAAAGTTATCGAATGCTTTTAATCACTGATGAATAGTGTTATCGAATTCATGGAAATATATATTGGTTTGAGTTTATAATACATTGGTTAGGCTTTAGATTTTATAACCAAACAAAAATGTATTTTTGTTTGTGTTTATGAAATAGTGGTTAGGGTTTAGATTTTGTAATTAAACAAAATTATATTTTGGTTTGGGTTGACAAAATAGTGGTTAGGGTTGACAAAATAGTGGTTAGGGTTTAGTTTTTGTAATTAAACGAAATTATAATTTTGGTTTGGGTTGACAAAATAGTGGTTAGGTTTTAAATTTTGTAATTAAATAAAATTATTTTCAGTTTAGGTTGACAAAATAGTGGTTAGGGTTTAGATTTTGTAACTTAACGAAATTATATTTCGGTTTGGGTTGATAAAATAGTGGTTAGGGTTTAGATTTTGTAATTAAATGAAATTATATTTCGGTTTGGGTTGATAAAATAGTTGTTAGGGTTGACAAAATAGTTGTTAGGGTTTAGGTTTTGTAATATATATAGTACATGATTTAAGAGAATAAAATCTAAGTTTATCACATAATAAAACTATGTTATTATTATACTAGTTACTAGTATAACATAACACTTACATGATTTTTTTCTCACTCTAGTAGTTACCGGTATAACATAAGAATTATCAAACCGGGAGCTAATCGACATTAATATTTATTAGTTGTAAAAATTATCAACCTAAGATAATTTTTACTATATAAAATTAGCCATAACTAGGACTTAAAGTACGTTCGGTTACATTGCATTTCTCATTAAAAGATGTCACTAGTGCAAATCCTCTAATGATCATGATCATGATCACATAACTCGCCTCTTTTACCTAATAATAAATACATAATCCTCTAATGTTTATGTTATCTACTATCCATAATGTTATGTTTATGTCTACATACTATTTTAGAAGGTCAAGTGTGTAGTTAGTGAGTACCTTGTAGTATTTACTACCAATTTTTTAATTTATAAGATTAGACTTGTTACCTTAGTATACATACTAATTGTTATCTGGAGTTATCGACTAAACATAATGATATCGACTAAACGTAATGATATCCAATATGTTCGAAGATATCGTCGACATTATTTAATGTTGGAGTTGTGCGTTTCTTTACCAATACAGATAGAAAGCAGAATCATTTCATTTAACCATCTAAAACTGTATAGGGTTATTTTTGTCTTTTTTTCTGACATCATGTGAGAGAACTAATTTTCAAATTAGTGATACCCAACTTTTAATTTTGAAGTCTACCATAGCTATAGTTTTAACTAACCCTTGATAATATGTAGAGAGAATACCAAAGTCATGTCACATGTTAATTACATGTATATATATTAATTTCTGGTATCGATAAGGCCATATTTTTATATGATTTACCAAAAAGTATGCTGTTGAGAGGAAGAAGAGGAAAAGACTCAGGCAACGCATGTTATTAGCAAGAGACGACTTAATTTAGCGAGTTCAGTTTTGGGGAGAGGGAAATTAGTTTTGTGGCTATGTATGAGAAAAACTTGAACCATATATCATCAAGACATCAAGTATCAAAAACCATGAGTACAAAAAGATATTGGGAACTCCAATATAATTTTTCTTTGGATCGAACACAGAAAAACAAAGAGAGACCAGTTCATTATTGATCTGTTTGAAGAAATTTTATCAGCGAGAAAGTGTAAATTGCGTCAACCATAAAACAATTGACAAACCCTGACTTTTTTTTGATATATATAGAAAGAAAGAAAGAAAAAGAGAGAGCAGAGATTAGTTAGCTAATGCTTTAACAGCTTTCTCAGCTGCATCATCCAAATCATCAGCCGTTATGAGTTTCATTCCACTTTCCTTTAGGATTCTCTTTCCCTGCTCCACGTTCGTACCTTCTAGACGAACCACCACTGGCACTTTCAATGAGACCTGTCCTCACCATTTCACACGATTACTCAATCATGAACCATTCATTCTACTGTATGATATGTTTCTGCTAACAAGGTTTGTTTCTCAACTCACCTCTTTTGCAGCGTTCACGATTCCACTTGCAATCACATCACATTTCATTATACCACCAAATATGTTCACCAAGATTGCTTTCACCTTATCGTCAGATGTCAATATTTTAAACGCTTCCACCACCTAATTGTTTTTGGGTCAAAAACCCTCTTTTTAAAATTGGTTTTTTAATCAACAAGGAATTATGATTCCCCAAAGTGAAGAAAGAAAGTTTCTTTTACCTGGTGCTCAGACGCATTTCCACCAACGTCAAGGAAATTGGCGGGAGTTCCACCATGTAGTTTAATGATGTCCATGGTTGCCATGGCCAATCCAGCACCATTCACCATGCAACCAATCTCTCCATCTAAGCCGATGTAGTTCAGGTCAACTTTCGCGGCAGCCACCTACGAGAAGCAAAACACACCCTTTTTCCTTTTAATATCCTATCAACTTAATAACAAAACATAGATTTCTTGATGATACAAGAGAGATTTTAGACAGAGACCTCTCGGGGATCCTCCTGTGTTGGATCACGCATGGCGAAAACCTCTTTTTGTCGGAACGCAGCATTATCATCGAAGTTCAGTTTGGCATCAGCAGCTACCAATTGATTAGTGGATGTCTCTGCAAGAGGGTTGATCTACAAGAGAAATTGGGAATTCAAACAAAGGTATTGATAACTGAAAAAGGTGTAGAAACATGACAGTGAGAGAGAACTCACTTCCAACATTGTGCAGTCACTCTTGCGGAAGAGTTCGTATAGCTTCTTCACTTGTTCAATCGAATCTTTTCTGTCAGCAGCTTTGGGAGCCAGACCATCCACAACCTTAGCAGCATCTTCATCAGTGATTCCAGCAAACACATCAATTGGTACCTATGCAGAACCATGAGTTGAGGGGTCAAAAATCAGCATGAGAAAGGAACTCAGAACGATATATCTATTAGGAGATTAGAGCATTAAGTGTCAACTAACCTTGATAATCATGTCAGGGAACTTCTCAGCGAGATCTTCAATACTGGTACCACCTTTTTTACAAGCAATGATCAACTGAAATAGGAAAGGGAAGTGTTTTAGATGTTACAGCAGGGGGTTAGAACAGCACGCCTAGAAGTAGAGAAGTGAACAGAAGTTCATCATTTGCGTAGTAGCATACCGGTCCAGCAGATTTACGGTCCAGAATTATGGAAAAGTACATCTCATTGACGAGTGACAATTTCTCACACAAGTAAACCTGCTCAAGATTAATATACAATGAATAAATAGCAGTCACAAGAATTGAAAAAAAAAACACAAATCATGAGCTTCATGAATAACTTATAACAAACCTTGCTAACTACTTTGCCTTGAGGTCCAGTTTGTTTTGTGACGAGTACTTGTCCAAGCATCTTTCCTACAAATGATAAGAAAATTTAATAGGATCAATAAACTCTGAGACAAAAAGATGCATCCAACACTTGAAGAAGAAGATAAACAAGAAACCAGGCACAATACCAGCAATATCTTCAGCCTGGTCACGCTTAACAATGTGAACACCACCCTTAAGACCACTCTTAAATGTTCCAAGACCTCTTCCACCAGCCAAGATCTGGCTCTTAACAACCAACTGTATCACACGGAAAAGAGCACTCTTTCAATAAGGTTACTACAAATAGAGATTAGAAGAATCAAGTCCCTCACAAATGACATGCTTATATTAATTTACCTCGCTTTCATTGGGGAAAACTTCATGGACAGCCTTTTTAACTTCTTCCAAAGAACCAGCAGCTACTCCTTTTGGCACATTAACTCCGTATTTGCCCATCAGCTCAGCTCCCTGATTGTATCGGAGAAAACACAATACAAATTACATTTCCCCTAAACCCAGACGATTCCATGTCAACTAGTGGTTACTTTCAAAATACAACTTCTACAGAGACACTCAATACAACTCAATTCTCTATCTCTACCACAAATCAACCAGTGGATCAACCCCAAAAACAAAATACAAAGACACAGATCGTACTAGAAAAGCGAATCTACACAGCTTTAGCATACTATAGAAGAATGTTTCAAAAAACGAAATGAAGAGAAGAGGAACCTGATACTCGTGGATGTTGAGACGACGAAGCTGTTGCTGCTGCCATTTCCCGGAGACGGAGAGAGATCTAGAGACGAGCTTGTTCACCAATCCCCTCATCGTTCGATTTGTCTACGAAAACCAGCGAAGCGAATGAGAGAAAATGAGAAAAATAGGGAGAGAAGAGAATAGTCGCAGCGTGTCAAGTATGAACGATCTGAGGAGTCTAACCCTAATTTTTTCCAACTTTATGAATTTTTCAATTTGACCCTCTTTATTCTATTTCTATGTCGCCGGCTCTTTAAAATTCGAAAAATAATTTCGTAATTTCTCAATGGGGAAAATATAAAAACAAAAAATACTACAAAAGTACCAATTTAACTCACTAAAAAAAAAAAATTATTTACCATACAATTTTGATTAAAAATAGATTTGGCTGATAAATCTATTGACATTACCAATCGTGTAAAAACTTATTCAAATTCCAAGAGTAAAAAAAGATGTCAGTCATTGAAACATAAGCCCCGTTCAGTTAGTCCGAAAAGGACCAAGTGAATAACTGTCGTGAAACAAACGGCCATGGTATCATCGGCAGAGAGACCACAGAAGCTCCACACACGCGTCTCAGCATTAGGATCTCCCCACCGTATGACTCACTCGTTTCCGAGGCCGCATCTCTGCGGATAATGGCTCGGGGACTTTCCTGGGTCGGAACCTAGACAGGCTCATGTGACCCGATCACTTTGTCCAATGACAGTTGAACAACGATGATCAGGTTTCAACTAAATATATACACGATAAGTATGTCTTGAACGGGCGATGTGGTATACCTCTGTTTTAAATACGTAATGGAAGCTTTTCCGTTTTGTGCTTTCTTTTAGTTCTTGTCGAAATGTTATAATAATAATTAAAAATAATGGAATATTAAACTAAGATTTTGGCGGGTTGAGCCGGGCCCGTGCAGTAGTGCAACGCATGGGCGACTCGTGAAAGCCCAAATAGCAAGCTATTTTAACGGGGTTTCTCCCTTAAAAAATAGAGTTAATATCGTGTGGGCCGATGGCCCACATATCAGATATTAAACTGATAAGAACAGATACTACACTTGATCTTAGCCAAAAGGCCGAGAAAGGTATGATTTGTACGTTAGGCCTCGCTTCCTTTTTATATCCGATTGGTTTTGACCAACGCTTACTAACTCATCGATGTGGGATATACTAAAGAACAATCTTTACTTAATAAGCAAAGCCGACAACACAATCTTCGCTACTTTTATGTACGCCTGGGAGTTACTTGTATAAATGCAATCACAAAAATCGTAGTTGAAGAATCGACTCATCTTCTGTATTTTTCACTTATTCATTTGTTTTGAATTTCATAAAGTTCTAGTCCACATGATTTTTTATGAACAAAAAAATAAAGATACATAACTTGAATGTATATAGTAAAACCTGTAAACTAACAGTAACTTATAGTGACGCCAAACTTTGAAATGGGTATATATGTTAGAAACCAAAAATATGGTACAACTTTGAACACAGTAGATCAAGAAGATGGCTTCAAGTTCCTGATTGCAGCGGCCATAATCTGAGATCATTCCACAGACGAAGAAAGTCAACTATTGTTTGTGATTACTGCTTAATAATGTAAAAGAAGAAGTCTACGTACCCGGGCAGGTCCAGAATCAAACCTTCTTTCGCCAATACTTGTATTCCTGTCCTCCCTCTTTGTGACTACTAGACTTCTTTGACTAGATTCCACATTGAACTCCACTATCAATTTTGTATCATCCTCCACTCTGCTACTGCTGCTGCGTTCACTAGATACTTCTTCACCCAGCTGTGTGCCTTTGCTCTTGCTTCTTGTTGTATAAGTACGATCAGACATTCCACCAGAACCAACAACCGGGCTATCAAAGGATTCTGCTGCATCATCTTCAACAACTTTGCTCTTGCTTCTTGTTGTGTAATCACTTATATTATTTGTTTGGAGACCTTGTCCCTTCTTTGAGAACTGAGTAGCTGCTGCTTTTGCCCCGGCGATTGCAGCTGTGAGACTGTTAACTTGCTCTGAATCAAGTGCTTTCTTCTCTCGTATTGTACAAGGAACAGAACCAGGTTTTAAGGAAAACGGGTCCTTTGGGTCTGGAAGAGGAAATTTCACCACATATGTGCTTTGAGAAGGCATAAGACCTCTAGCCGCAGCCAAATGAATCTGTTTCATTTGAGAATACAGTAAGTAACTGGTACTATCTAATACTATTCTCCCAAATTCTTAGGCTTTAGAGAACAGCAAGATTACCTTATTTTCTAAGTTATAGACTCCCTGGTACCCGCGCATCTCAAATGGAATAATCAGTTTCTGGAAGAGTTCGTAGAATCAAATGTTAAATAGTCAAATCCAAACAAAAGAGTAGAAAGCGAAAGCTGAAGTAAATTTCACCTGCGGCTTCTCGCATAGCCAGCAAAAGTTGGTTTGTCCTTCAAGCCTCACCTATTATATACCAAAAACAGTAGGGGGCTTTATTTCTTATACTATAGAATGATCGATAATGAGATTGCTTATTATCCTCTAGAATCATCGATAATGAGCTGTTTGAGATGTCAGCTAATAGAGCACAGCAATAAAGAAGATAGAAAATTGTTGTACCCCTTTAGGTAAAGCATCCCAGTTCTGAAGTTCATCACAGGTAACACAGCCAACAACCTCAACACATCCTATACCATTAAAAAACGTATCAAATATGCTCCAAGCAAATCAGGCTTTAGAATAAATACATATGATGTGACAAAGATGAGAATAATACAAGAGATTAGTAACAGTACCAATTAGTCTTGAAACAGGGTAATGTTGGGGGAATTGAATATCAGTGATCCCATCAACAGCATAAATCTCTTGGTAAAACTCTTCCATTGCTTTGATAGTAGCTTCATCAGGTACTTTACTAGCAGCATGAATCCATAAACGGCCTATTACATGTTTTAAGACAACATTATCATCATCTTCTTCTTCAAACTTATGCAATTATCACAATGTCCCAATTCAAATTATCTCAGCTGAAATTTACAAACATTAAAATAAAAACTGATCTTTGTCAAAGTCAAAGTCCAAAATTAGTGCTTATACGGTATAAGTTATACCTCGGATTGGAGCAGGCCAGGATCTACCTTCGATGCGTTTGATACCATGGACGAGAAGTGAAGCCCATGGCTGATGCATAGTCAAGCACGGGTTCTTATAATTCCCACGACTCATCCCTCGCTTTCTTCAAAAATCCAAATTGTCAAAACCTACACTTAAAACCTAATCTAATCTAAATCCACCAATCACCAAAGATATCTCCTTAAATATTCTCACCTACGGATTCAAGAAACAAATCCCCAAAAACCTTGAGGAGAAGAAATATTTTGAATCCAGAAGAAGCGAAAGAGCAAACCGGGATCCTCGAACCGGTTTATCACTGGACTTCTTTTCGCGTTTTGGGGAGATGGTAGGTTAATTAGGTGACCAACAATAAAAAAATTTGCAAACCAAGTTTATTAGGTTTTTTAAGTTTAAAACCGTCAATAATGTAGCGATATAAGTAATAAAAAGTTTAATCTAATTACTTGATGGGCTGAGCCGGGCCCGTGCAGTAGTGCAACGCATGGGCGACTCGTGAAAGCCCAGATAGCAAGCTACCTTAACGGGCTTTCTCCCTTAAAAAATAGAGTTAATATCGTGTGGACCGATGGCCCACATATCAGATATTAAACTGATAAGAACAGATACTACACTTGATCTTAGCCAAAAGGCCGAGAAAGGTATGAATTGTAATTTGGGCCTCGCTTCCTTTTTATATTGATTGGTTTTGATCACACGCCTCACTCGTCTACCGATGTGGGACTAAACGTTTTGTACGTCTTTCTTCTTTTGGCAAAACAAAAAAAAACCTCGGTGCGTTTATGTATGTACAAGTATAATGAGCTTTGACATGCTTTCAGTAAGCATTTACATGAGTTGCTTGTATAGATGCAATTACTACAAAAAAAAGGTATTAAGTTTTAAATTCACCTGAACACTAAAATCTAAAATCTAAAATCAGAATTAGAGCATCTCCAATGGTGCTAACCATTGGAAGGTGCTTACATATTTTTTTGCATTAAATTTTTAAAAATAAATTTATAAGCAACTTTATCTTGATGTTGAAAAATTTGGTGTTCCAATGGTATAACTCTTAATGAAGTGCTTAAAAACAAAAAATTAATTTAATTGGGAGAATTTCAAAAATACCCCTTTTCCAATACCACTTTGTAAAAATACCCCTTTTTCTAATTTTATCAAAAAGTCACTATAAAATTTGAAATTTATCAAAAAAAAATATGCGAAAGCTTATATTTATAGACACAAACTATCTTTATATGTGTGTAAATTTATACATATATCTCATAAATACCGTATAAATACCTTTTAAAAACCTTTTAAAAATCATTAAAAACCTTATAAAAACTTTGTAAACCTTTTAAAAACCTTATAAAAACCTTATAAATGCCGTTTAGAACCTTTTAAAACCTTATAAATATTTGGATTTAGTTTCCCAGTAGTAATGATGATCTTGATGTACCTTATCAACTATATAAAAGTTTGTAATTTTTCATATTTGAAAATGGGTATTTTTGAAAATGGATAGAAACAAATAGAAACATTTATTATAATTTATAAAAGAAAACAAGTTATTGCATACTATAAAATATTTAGATCATGATATAAAAGTATATATGAAATCATATAAATTAAAAACGAAATAAGCGACTAGTTGTAATATTGATTTGTGCCAAATTATGAGGAAAATGTTTTTTTTTTTTTCTATTTTTCCACTCACCCACTAATATTTTGACACGTCAGCGGCCCTTAGCTTTTGCTTATAAAGCTAATTTAAGCTACAAAGCTTATGTTTTGTGGTTCATTTTACATTAAATATAATACAATTAATATAAGCAATGTGTTAAGCATTGCATTAAGCATCTCTAATGGAGATGGTCTTACATCGCAAAGATGGAATTGCTCTTTTATTTTTTGTTTCTTCCTAGAGAGCTGAGTATCAGAAAATTAGTTTTAAGAAAGAAAAATAAGAGAGAAGGCCTGAAGAAGAAGACAGAAAGCTCTTACTCTAATAAGTCAAACTCTACAACTCCACCAAAACTTATATCATCCACCATCCCTAGAAAGGTTTCCTTCATTCTTTGTTTCTCTGACGCTTTGACCGCGGGGAATCTGACTCTTCTGAACCATTTTCAGGCGTTTTCGCGCTTGTTTTCTCTTCTTGTGCGAGTTTGCCAAAAACTAGCTTTTGCTTCTCAATCATCAACGACAACGCATTTCCCTGTTCTTCTAACCGAATTTGCATTTTTCTTTGAATCTGCAAGCACAACAAAGCAAACCCAATTTTATTTTGTACAGTTTGCAACTTCAAGGAATACAAATAGATAGCACTGCAAGCTAAGACTCTATTTCATCGTTATACCTCGAGCTGCTCATGCAGTTGCTTCTGAGCTTCCAACTGAAATCGCAGAGCCTCAGTGATATATATCCCACTGCAAATTCAGTAATGACAATTTAGTGGAAAGAGTCAATGGTGTCACAGTTGTGAATTGTAATGTTACCAAACCCCACCGTTTCGTATCAATAGATGTAATTTGCTCAAACGGTGACAGCTTCGTCTCTGGCGAAGCTGCTAATCATCAGAGAAAAATCATCTTAAAAGTGAAAGCCAAAGTAATCAACATAAAAAAAAAAACTGCTTAGATAATTAAGGCTAAATGAGTCGGGTTCTTAGTCTAGAAGATAAGAAAATATTAGCATGCCAACAATGTTAAGAGCCTTTAACCTAAGTATCAAGATAAGAGTAGAGTAAGAAAGATCAACATCGAATATGTAAGAAAAATGAATGCATATGAAGACTCATCATAAAAGAAGGGAGCCAGTATTTACCTTCTGATGGTTCGGATGTGTGTCTAGCTGACCTATATTTCTGCAATATAGATAAGAAAAATTGTAGACTTTTACCAAAAGATTATTATGGGATTAGCATGAAACAGGAAAAATGAAAAACTAAACCTGCAAATGACTTTTGACATGATATATATTCAAACCTTCGACATTCATATGTTTCAGCACACCCTTAGGAGTTGCTTCTGCATTAAAATAAGACACTTAATCAGAACAAACAGAGCTTCATCACCGTTAAAATCAAGGATCGTAAAATTCAAGAAGCAGAGAGAAAGAGAAAAGATTCTCACTGTTAACGCCACCGAAATGGTTAACAGCCTCAACAAAAACCTCATGAAGTTCAGGCGTCCAACGCATACGTCTCTTAGCTGCTGCATTATTATCACTGTTGCTACTACTGTTGTTAAAGTTGCTGTTTGAGGAAACTGTCCTTACAAGTGGTCGCAATTCCACACAAGGAGAAGGCTGTTGCAAAACAACTTGCGGTTGTTGAATATGTGATTGCCTACTTTGTTGCTGGTCCTGAAAAAACATCTCCTCATGCAGAGAAACTTGGGGTTGTTGAATCTGCGATTGCCTACTTTGTTGCTGGTCCTGAAACAACATCTCCTCATGCAGAGAAACTTGGGGATGTTGGATCTGCGATTGCCTACTTTGTTGCTCGACCTGAAACAATCTCTCCTCATGCATGGTTTGTTGAATCTGCGATTGCGGACTTGGTTGTTGGACCTGAAACAATATATCCTCATGCAAGGGTTGTTGAATCTGCAATTGCATACTTGGTTGCTGGACCTGAAACAACATCTCCTCATAAAACATGGGTCTTTTGATGGTGTAGAAGATGAAAAGACTGATAGGAAAAATAGTGATATGTGGAGACAAGAGAAACACAATATGTATAGCAAGGTAAACTCGAAGACAACATTACAAACCTCTGAAGCTGAGTTGAAATCTGTGGCAAGGAAAAGCTCGTCCATGACAGCTGACATCATCGAATCTCCATCATCAGATGCTAAGATAACAGAGTCATCCATTTGACTGCTTTGAATAGGAGAACCCTCAGGAAAGTAAAAAATATCTCCGAGTGGAGAACGAACCCAGTCCGATGACTCGGGGACGAACGAGTTATGGAGATCACTTGAGTATATATGACCAACAGCTCCATCATTAGCAGAGAGATCACTTGAGGATATATAACCAACAGCTCCATCATTAGCAGAGAGATCACTTGAATATAGATCAACAACTCCATCATTATCAGAGAGCAAATGATAAGGCATTTCCATGAGTTGATTCTGTTCTGAATCAAAGGACATTTCTGCTGGTACTGAAGGGTTTTGTACAGATGGTATCAAATCAGAAGTGTCTGAAACGTCACTCAGCTCATCCGGAACTGACCTCGACCGTCGATTTTCCATTATTGTTTCTAGAAAACAAAACCAATAGACATCAAAGTGTAAGATTATGATACATCATATCTCAAACCTATGAAAAATCAAATTCATCAATGCATAAAATTCTGAACTATAGAAGCTGAATCAGTGCAAAGTCCAAAAATGCAAAGAGCAGATGATTTTAGAGTCACATAGCAAATAATTTAACAAAATGGAAAAGCAGAATCAATCGCCAAAGCAAACAACACAAAAATATCAAAAACCTACACTATAAAAACAATCGAAGATGCATCAACCAATCACAAAACATGTTATACTTACAAAACAGAGAAGATGATCAAATTCCAAAAAAATCTCACCTAAGAATATATGAAAAACCCCAGACACATGAGAAGAAGAGAAAGCAGCGGAGAGCGATCGAAGGTAAATCTTCAAACCGGTACGGGAGAATAAACCGGGATCCTTTGTACCGGACTTATCGCTCTCTCTCGCACTTGGTCGTTCCTTGTTTTCCTCGTTAGCGTCGAGATGATGATGAAGAGAAGCTGGCTGTGTTTCTTTAAAAGACACGATCAGTCATTATTCTCTCACGCGCGGAGAACGGCGCGTATTACCTATGAGGCCACTTATTTTCCTACGTGGAATGTTCTCAGTGGATGATTAATTTTGTAAATAATAGCCTAATTATATTATTGTTTTAATAACAAACTTTTAAATGAGGATTTTTCTCACAAAATGATCAATTTGGGTTTATCCGGAAAATATTTTAGTTACAAAATCTGATTTTAGATCATCATTAATGATTAATCTAAGTTTATTTTTTCTTTTTTGACATTCATCAATATTTTTTTATTTCTTCGAAAAATAATTTCAAAGGAAAAAAAGAAATCTAAATGTTGTTGGCTGCAAAACCCAAAACCCTACAGATCTTCGCGAATCTCGCAGCTCCGGGTCGAATCAGCGGTTCGGGTCAAATTCGTCGGAGATTCACCTGAGCAAAATGTTCGCGAGGCGGTTCACTTCTTTCTTCAAAGGATCATCATCAACCTCAAGGTACCCAAAAATGTTGCATCTTCTCTGATTTTGCGATCTTGCAATTACAATCTGATCGATTGATTGACCTTTAGTCGAGCATCTTAATCTCTTTGATCTCTATCGCGGTTTCAAAACCTCCGTAGATTTCTAGTTCTATATAGCCATTTAGACCTTTTTGAGTTGAGTTTCTATGGAAGAGACACCATTCAATTCGAAATTTGGAGGATTTATATCTATGGAAGAGACACGATTCTATTCAAAATCTGGATGGTTTGTGTTTAATTAAGGTAGCTCAGTATAAATGAGCTGAAGAATGTTTTTTAAACAGCTCGGACAAAGCTGGGACGTTGGGCTCTTTTGGTCGGAAGGCAGTGTCTTTCGTCTTGATTACAGTCACTGGTGGTGTTGCTTTGAGTGCTCTTGATGACCTTTCTATCTACCGTGGATGTAGCAGGTAATCACATAAATCATTCTTTTTAATCTAAAATGCAATATCATTCCATCAAAGTTTAGCTACTGCAATGTACATTCTTCCGTAGTAGTTGGAATTGTGAATTGGATGCTTTATAAGCGAGTGGCTGAGTTGAAAACATGTGAATAGTTTGGAAAACAGGTTTAGGGGATGATTTAGTCTTTGTTGGCGTGAGAGCTGAGACCATTGGCATAGATTCTCTGCACCTATCAGTTTGACCATGATTCGCTATCAGTGGGACGGGTTACTTATTTGATATAAGGATCAACTTTTCAATAAGAAGCACTCAACTCTTGGTGCTAGTTATACATGTAGTTTAATCAATGTTGTGTCCTTATCTCCATTTCCATTTTCGCTTGAATCTGATAGACTGCTCTAGTGTGGTTAAGCTAAAGAAGAGAAAACCTTATGCATGAGCACCTTTTTGGCATTGTTTCACTGTGAAGTTCAACGCACCCATTAACTAAGCTAAAGTCTGGTTTCTCATGTGTAATTCTGTCTATCTTGTGCTTGTGCTTCCACTTTACAAGTAATGATACTTCTTCTTCCTGTCCTCGCTAGGAGTCCAAAGTCAGCTGTAATATCCAGAACAATCATTTGTTATTTTGTTGCCCATTATATCAACGCTCCTCATAAATATCTCTATGCTCTTCCCCTTGTGTCATCAAATCAGTCACATGACCTGATTTCAAGAATATGGTATTTGCATTGACGATTTCTCACAATAGTATGTGTGTGCTTAATTTTCAGCAAGGCGATGGAGAAGGTGATGAATAGCAAGGCGATGATTGAAGCCATTGGAGAGCCAATTGAGAAAGGGCCATGGTACAATGCTTCACTAGCTGTTTCTCAACAAAGGCACTCAGTGTCTTGTTCATTCCCTGTGATTGGACCACAAGGCAGCGGAATCTTACATCTCAAAGCTGTTCGCAATGGAGGTAAAAAACTCTCAAACCGCAACAGTCTCTCAACACATATATGTGTTAGGTATCTGCATTTGCCGTTTATCTTACTCATTGGATCATCTTTGTGCTTTGTTTCTTGGAATAGAAGATAGCATGTTCGGTTTTCTCCAGCAACGGGACTGGGACATTCTTATAATGGACGCACTTGTCCATGTCCCGTCAAACGAAGGACCCCAACAAACCTTGAGAATCAACGTTTCTAACATGCTTGATCCTCCCCCTGTTACCGAAGATAAACCTTCCAAACCACAAGAGCCAGAGAAGAGCTGAAAAAAAGAGAGAGAACACTTAGTCGTGGAGATCCTGGCTAGTGGCTAGGGTTTTATTTCATTCCATTATATCTTGTGTCTTGTGAAGCAACAGAGATTTGTTACTAATAATGAACACTTATTTAGGATTATACAAAAAGTTGAATACGTGATTGGTAATAAATAACAGCATTGCTCTTTATGTTTTCACATAATTATATGTTTTACGTGTTTGTTAATAAATTACGTGACAATGGTCACAATGCTATTTCAAATTAATTTATAGATCTATCTCTTCAAATCCCTTAATTTTTGGCTAAGAAGAAATCGTAATCTCTCGTCAATGTCGTCGCCAGGGACAAGTATGTGCCTGCAAGTGGGTATGAGGAGAAGATGATTTGGTGTGCAGAGATTTTGCTTGAAAAACGCAACAAGCAAGATTTGGGGGAAGGTCAAGTGGTTTGATGCAGTTCCTACAGCCCCTAAGTCTTACAAATTTGTGTGTGCAAAATCTGATACTGTTTGACAGGTTTGAACGTAATGAATCTGGTTATATCGCTGTCTTTTTTTCTAAGTATGTCACTTATGAAGGAGTGTCTAATGTTGCCATTGAAACAATTGAGGTCCTCTGTTCTAGCTACTTTTTCTTTTCTTCTCAGTCAAAGAAGAGTAATCTTACTTAGTTAAACACAGTATTCAATTATGTACTCTGGTTTAGTGGTTTGGATTGAAATGCAAACAAAATTAAATTGATCATGAGTTCATGACTACACATGAAAGCACTGACTTCAGTTTGAAAAGGGTCACTTCATATTATTAATTTCTGTGGGTAACTGATACAACAAAAATCTCAAACAAACTTATCTCTATGAAACTGGAGAAACTACATTTGATATCAATACAACAAAAATAAATCATTTTTTTGTTCGTATAATAGTAACCAGAAACTATATCCCAAACCGTAACAAAAAGGGGCTTATGTCTCTCTTCATTGTGTCTTATCTCTCTGCTCACTCTTCCATGAATTCTTAGCTGCATCTGCTGAAATAGTCGTGCCTGCATTGCTATCGCTGCTGCCATCTTCTCCAGGCTTTGGTTTGGAGAAGAACGGGTCCCACACATGGCCTCCCGCTTCCCGTTGGCCTTCCTCCAGCAACGCATACTTCCAGCTGTTCTCCTCCACGAAGTAGTCATACTCGGTTCGGCCCTCAATCATGTTTTTCCTTAACCGAGTCACCTTGTCTATCACAGCCTGTACCGAGACATCAAATGCATCTTTCTGAGTCTCCAGTTCTGATCTCGGGTCTGCGTAGATCAGCCTTGGAATGAGGTTGATGACATTCTCTCTCATAATCTTGACCTGCTCGGATGGAATCTGGAGGAGTCGCTCCTCGATGCTAATGTTTCTCTTCCGAATATCATCCTCGGGGATGAATACCGAGTAGGTTGTGTAGTTCTTGGGTAGATGCCACGTGTATTGAGTGTAGGCTGAGCCCGGATGGAAGAAGACAGGTATACAACCGGCAAGCATTGAGTCAAAAGCCGATCTTCGGGTGTAAGAGTCTCCCTGTGGCTGCAGACAGAAGAGAGAGCTTTGAAACATTTGCATAATGCTGCTTGGTGCATGACATTTGCTCTCCCCAAAATCGCATTCTAATAATTTGCCAACATTTGAGTTTCGGCATTGATCAATGATCTGCCCTCTGATGGATTTTGGATTGTCGGGTCGTGGGGCTCCTGCAAATGAGAAAAGCCACTTCCTTTCCAGGTTTCTCATCCGGTCTTGCCATTCAAAAACCTCTGAGTCCTTTGCTGGGTGGAAGTAGGTTGGGTATGGGATCCCAAAATCATTTGCGTTCCAGGGGCTCGACTCAACCACAAGCATAGACATGTTTTTGGCAGCTGGTAAGAAGAGAAGCTTGTTGCCCCAGTCAGTTTCTTCTTCAGACAATCTCCTGAAATCCCACGTTATCCTACCTGCCACAAGGAAATGATCTTTTCCTTTCATTATTTCCCACTCAGGCCGCTTCATGAGCCAATCGACCAACTCAAGTGAAGCAGCATCTCTTCTTGAGATATTGTATCCCCACAGGTACCTAGCAATGTCGAATCCAGCATAGAACGGCACAAATATCGCAGCAGCAAGAGAAGAGTCATTCGTCAAGCATTTGTACTGCTTCATCCGGTTGCTGAATATCACATCAACAGCAAACTGATTAGTCGCATACCAGCCTTCATCTGAGAAGACACCTTCAACATTTTCAAGCGGCGGGCCAAGGCCAGCATTGGTTGTGAACTTGCACATGTTAGTCCAGAGACTAAGCTTCTTACAGTCTCTAAGCATATCCTCATTGAACTTAGAGGGTAGATTGTGAACATAAATGTACTTCCCTCCACACGGGTCACTCTTGTTGTCTACTGTCTTCAAGGCTCTTATAAACGAAAACTCCTGTTTCTGCCCGCTCTCAACAATTTTAGGAGGCTTAAAGGTGGAAGTAGAATTGGCTACTGGAGCAGGAGGGAGTACTGGCTTTGGCTTATCAATCGTAACTAAAGGCTCTTTAGGAGGTTTCGATGGAGCTGCATGAGGCTCGATAGGGAATTTATCTACCCGAAGAGAGACTGAAGAAGGCTGAGATTGGGCATAGCTAGGTTGCAACTGGATCTGTTTATCAATAACGCTACTGCTTCCTAAGACAACAAAATGGAAATACAACAACAATGCCCAGAAAAAGAGTGATAAAGCAACCAACACACAGATTCGATTGGTCTGACTCTTCCCATTTCCCTTCTCCATCGGCTCTGTAGGAGCAACTTCTGCAGAGCGACGCCTCATAGCAACCCTCGGAATCATATAGAGCGTACGAGATCACCACAACATCGATTCGAGATACAAAAGATCAAACGCAAAAAACAACCCTAAGTTCCCAAATCCTAGAGAGCAAACCCAACAACTATCAAAGCTAAAAGAAGCAATTTTTTGCACGAGATCGAAGTAGTTGAAGCTAAATTGTAGCACAGGAGCAGATAAAACTCCAGAAAGGAATCAGATTTGAGAATGCAGAAGTGTACCGACAAGGATCCGCGAGAGACGGAGCTACGAGGAAGAAAGAAAGAAAGATGACAGCTTTTGATTGATTGATCACACAAGAAAAGATCTAGAGATGTCTCAAAAAGTGGAGATTTTTCAACATTGAAGAGAGAGGTGAAGATCGAAGAGTATTAAGACCTGGCTTTGAGCTGGTCTCATCACCGTCAATGGGAGAGAAAGAGAGAGAGACACAGTTTCTGTATTTGTAATTGAAAGCGCACGTTAGACGGACGGCTAAATCTGCGCCGGCAGTTTTTTTTTGTTTCTCTGCTTCTTCTAGTTGTCGGTGACGAGTGGGACCTTGCCACGTGAGCTAACATGTCGGCTTCAAGTGTCGGTGACGTCAGCAACAAACCTCTTTGACTCGGACCTTGGCTCGGCTCTCTCGTAACGTGATTCCGACGAGCGTGTGGGTATGGCTCCACGTGTAAGCATGTGAGTGGTTCCTGGCGTAAAGTAACGTTGGAAATTGCACACAAAACCACAGAAAATTTGATGGTAAGCATGGAAACCAAATATACACGTTGTGACATGATTACTTCAAGAGTTCAAGCTCTTTTGTATAACGTCTATCTATACTTAGTTAATTGTTCAATGAGAATACTTAATTTGAATGTTGTATTGTTGTATAGTTAATGAGAATACTTAATTTGAATGTTGTGTAGTTCGTCTTAACACTAATGATGATAGTATTTGGTCATGATGAGAGAGTAGGTATAAAGCAAAATGATTATAGACTTTTTTGCAAACCAAAATGACTTTTGTATGTATACATGTCAGCCGTGTTCGAACAATGAGAAAGAAACATTCGAGTGCAAAACCTTTTTCACTACTTTTATTCTTTTGATGAGTAAATAAGTATTTTGAGCCACTAAGTTTTGTATTCGTTTGTTTATAAGAATCTTTATTAACGTCTTCTTTTGATGGACACAAATTTTTATTCACGTCAAACTGAATTTAGGAGATTTACATTCGAACTTCAAAAATGTTAGCCGTCTATATCGGAATGTTAATTGTATAAACTTTGGAGTGTTCAAAAAAGGGGAACGAAGGCTCCATGCACTTTCAATGTAATCCACCCACTCAGGCAGCCATCTATATCGGGATGTTTTAAATAACCAAACGAAAACGTGGCTTGTGGGAGTGGGGAAGTTTGTGCTCCCCAATGTACACAACTCACATGGATACCACAAAAATGACTTGCAAGCAAATTTATCTACTCCTTAAATTATTGAATGAGATGAGAGTAATGGCCTAGCATTAACTTCTTCTTTTCTTCTCCAACAATAATTAAAAAAAAAAAACAAAAACAAATGGTGAACATGTAAGGGTGATTTTGCAAAAGTGGGGATTCAATATCGTACAAATTCCTAATTAAGAAATATATATATCCTTTGGAACGAGATCGTGGTCTTCTAAATCATCTAATGGGTGAATGAATGGGCAAATGCATATTTTTAGGAAAGAAAGATTCTAGCTACAATTCATAAATTACTTAACGTGTTATATAATGTAGTCCCGTAGTTGAGATTCTAATTGGTACCTACTTTTTAGTTGTAATCCAGTAGCAGCCTCGTAACTTTCGTCACGTTTGCCCCACTATAGTACATACGCCATTTATATGATTGGGGCTATAACATTAATCTTTAGACTCAATTTAGATTAATGTGAATTTATACAACATGAGATGTGTTACTTCTGGAATAATCTAAAATAAAGACCATAGATAAGTTATCGAGGAAACGTTTATGGACGAGATATCGTTCTTACTTCTTAGCAATGATCATCGGTTGATGGGGAGATCTATATGGAATCAGTTTTCTTCCGAGACCAAGAGGAGATGAAGAGAATGAGTATTAGAAATATGTTAAAGAGACAGACCAAACATAACCCAACCTTAACCAACGTCATCTCCTTCTGTTTAGATCCGTCATCGTCGCGGGTCATTTTAACATCTTCGATATGGAGATGGACACCGGGATCTTTTAGCTTAACCTTGCTACCAAGCAGAACTGAACCACACGTTGCTTGAACGTTGTTGTTCACGTAGATGTTGATCCTGCAACCACTTTGACTCGCTATGTCTACATCTCTAGGTGCTACCATCACCGCCCCAACATTTCTTCCGTTCAAGTTGATTCCACCAAAGCTGGATCCAGGACCAGGATAGTCTCCTTCATCTTCCATTTTGGGACAAGTACTGCAAAATGATTCTGTCCTGTCCCTCCAGTCTGATGATATCTGATCTATATGCTTTGCTTGGTATTTGAGGTTTCCTAAAGTTCTTTACTGTTTTTTTACAGCTACAAGCAAAGTGATATATTCTACGATTTGCATAACTAGATTCCAATGGACTTTAGATAGGTAATCAATGTTTCAATATCTGTACATAAACCAAGTTGAATACCCTCTTGACCATGAACATGAAACTTCAAATTATTCCGGGTTTAAACTCTATTGTATACAGATACAAGTTGAACATTTTTGCGCAAGTAAAACATACAACACCAAACTATATGGAACGCAAAGACGAAAGCATATGGCTTTAGTTATACTCAAGAGCAAAGTAGGACACATAGTTCGAAATGAACCAGATACTGCATAATTCCTAAGGGACCAAATCGCCCCATCAAGAAAGATAATGCCCCCTCTCTAACTTATAATGTTGATGTGTTATATTTTTTTTTTCAGAACACAACAAAGAGGAGGACTCGTTTATTATCAACAAAAGTAAATGAAAGGCATCAACATACCAAATCTGGTTTCCGCGATTTCATTGTGACACTTGCATGAAAAAATTAGTCCAGGAAATACCCTTTTAAGGAGAAGCAGCATTAAGGATAGAAGTCTGTTGGTATCTTTTCACTGACAGTCGAACCGAAGTTAGGGCCGCCCTTGCGATATTGGATAAGAAACTCGACCGGATATCCTTTCAACTTATGGGGGACAAGGTCCAAATCCTGAAACTTCAAGGCTGAAACAGCCATTGTTGTGTAATAAAGAGTGAGACTCAATCAATTCAAGGAAAATAACTCATTTTTACTTCTATGAATAATGACTAACCCTTGTCGGATACAAGTGTATCGGTTGTAAGTGTATTGATTTGATCCAGATTGAAGATCTGCGGAGAGGGTAAGGGGAAAGGTACTTTGTTCACCATGAAGTCTCTAGGAGACGCCATCGCCTGGAACAGATTGTGACACATGTGAAATTCGTATTATTTCAAAAAGAAAAAGAAAAATCTTTGGAATTTCTAACATAAGAATGCACGATTATGATCTTTTACCTTGGCAATTGGAAATGGAAGATTCACATACCGAGGCCATTCACGAATCATATCATACATGATCTCTGCCTGCAAGAAACATTTGGAAATCAAAACCACTGAGCTGCCACAGTGACAGAGAACATGAAGGATGATAAGAATTTACCAACTCATGAGTGGTAAAGACATCTGGACCACCCAATTCATATGTTTTCCCCATGCTGGAGCCATCATCCTTTAGAGCTGCAACGATTGCAGCAGCAACATCAACCACATAAACAGGCTGGAATCTGCAATGGAGTTATTGTCAGGGAAGGAACCAGGTCTACATTGTAAGCTACTATGGACCGGTGAATAGAATTGCACAAGGGATTTAAGACGTACTTGGTGGTCCCACCACCTATGAGCGGGAGGAAGCCATATTTTTTAACGAACATTGACCAGGGGTTCAAGATTCTGTCCTCTGTACCAATCATGGTTGCAGGTCGCATGATGGTGGCCTAGGGAACACATATACATCAGGAACTGACTAGAAACAGACTGCTGATGGCAAAAAGTTTATACAAACCATCCCAGGTACCATTTTGGTTTCAAAAGTTATGAGATTTTAGAATTTTCTAACAAAATACAGATTTCCAGCTCTGCACAAGTTCTCTGTTCTCTAAAACAGAAGTAGGACGTAAATATAATAAATAAAATATCAGGAGATAATAATAAAAGAGAGAGAGTTATGTGTGCAAAAAGCCGGTATAAGTTTACCTCAGGCAGCGCATTCAAGACAGCTTCCTCGGCAGCAGCCTTTGCTCTCTGCATTCTTGAAGGAGATGACATTGAAGCTCCTAGGCAAGAAACTTGAATATATCTCATTATCCCACCGTGTTCCTTTGCCACCTGAAACAACATATCCACAAAGCCCCAAGTTAATTAGACGTAACCAAAAGAGAAAGCTTATAGCAGAGCATATCATCCCGAAAGTTAGACATATGTAGCTTATTTCAAAAGTAAGCAACAATCAGAGAAGCAGCAAATATGGAAACCTGTTCACCAGATTTACTGGAAGCAACTCAACAGGATTCAAATACATACCAATGCAAGTTTCTCAGCAATATGATGGTTGACTTCCTCAAAACTGAAATTTCTGGTCTCGTACTCTCTTCCTGAGGATTAGATTAAATATCATCCAAAAAGTAAAGGAACAGTAGTGAAGTTTAAATATTTAACTACAATTGCTAGAAATTTAAGATCGAACAAAAAAACTACCAATTAGATTGATAACAACATTAGCCTTGGCCATGACAGCCTTAATCGAGTCTTCATCTCTTGGATCAAATTTCATTGGCACTACCTGGAATATACAGGCAACAAACGCACATTAAATTTACAGAGCCAAAGCATAGTTTTCTAAAAAGATGTTTTTTGTTCACGTCCTTTAAAACATTAGGTTAAATAAAAGAATTTCTTACCTGTCCTAAATCTCCCATCAGCTTGAGATGTCGAGGAGAGTCCTCTGAGCCTCGGAAAGGAACGAGCACTTGTGATCCCATTTTAGCTGGAAGAAAATATTCACTTGAATTTAGCAAGTAGCAAAAAAAATTTGCAAATGTAAAGGAAAAAAAAAAAAACACCAGACTGGTTATACAACTGTTAAACCCAACTCACCTAGCTGCTGCACAAGATAGCGACCCAGAAATCCTGTGGCTCCAAATACTGTAGCTACAATACCACTGGAAAAGTAAAGAAGAAACTAATATTTTCAAAGACCAACATATATATTCTCTCTTAATAGAATACTCTCGAGAACAATTGATAAAATTAGCTATGCTGAACTCCTAAGAGATGAATGATACATTTCTCTACAAAGGCAACTAATGCCCAAAAGCTACCCTCTAAGCTCAAAACTAACAAAGATATACAGACTAAGCTTACTTTACAATAGCACAGAGAATAACAATTCGTATCCCCATGAGAATTAACAACCATTCTTTAGAAACAAAACCCTAGACAAAACGGAACAAAAATGAGAAAACTCTATAGACAAATTCGCTACCCAAAACCCCCTTAGAGATGATACATTGCCCGATAAATGAAATTGCAACTAATTCACTCTAAGCTCAAAACTTAAGATACGCAGAAAAGGCTACAAAATCCAAACACAGCAATAATATTTCACCTTCTCATGAGAATTCTCAGAGCATTTCTTTAGGAACTAAACCCTAAAAGAGAGCAATGACATACCTAACGGAAGACCTCCCACCAGTACCCTTGCGAGCGAGGTGCCCCACTCCCTTAGTAGCGAGGGAAGACGAATACCGACGATTATCACTCCCATTCACTGAAGGGTTCCCATAAAAATCAGCAGAAAACACACACAAAAATCAGTAAAATCGCAAATATCTAATTAGCGCGAGACTCGAAAGCAACCTAAAATCCCAAATCGAATAAAATCAATGGCGGAAACTTAACGGTGATTTGAGACTCCATAGAGCGATCTGAGGGAAGAAGACGAATAGATCGAAGCTCCTTCGGCGAGAGGCCGTTGAACTAATCTCCTGGAAACTGCTTGCATCTTCGTTCTCAGTTACACGATCGATCGAGAGACAACAAATACAGATGAGAGAGATAGAGAGAGAGACGAAGACGAAGAAGAAGAGAGAAATGGGAATAGAAGAACTTGGTGCCTCGAGGATACACAGAAATGGGCCTGGGCCTGGGCCTTAAAATGAATCCACGTCGTTTTCTATCTGTTGAAATTGAATCTTATTAGGAGAGGATCCATGTTTGAGTAAAACGGCGTCGTAAGCCTGGATGTCATACGTATATGTTACGACGTCGTTGCATTAAGTCCAAACACGGTTTAGTCTCCCATCTGATTCGAAATCGTTTCAACGGTCTAAAGTAAAACTCTGTTTAGGGGGGAAAAATCTCGTTTTCAATTTTAAATCTAAATGGTTTAACGGAGTAAAGCAGGGCATTTTAGTAATTACGTATTAATCATCCCTAAAACCACTCCAAGTACAAAGCTTTTGTTTTATTTTCTACGCAAGTATTCGACATTTTCTCATTTTTCATCACCGACTCAAACAAGCACCTTTGCGATTTCAAAAATAGAATCAATAATCAATCCAACGATGAAGATTGATTACACAGAGTGATGACAATCCAGCCTGTGATTGAGATTACGGTGATCAATCAAGTAACTATGAATCATGTTCATATTGATTTTGATTTTTTTCTTTTAAATTCATCGATCATTTCGTTTTACTTGCAAAAATCTCTTTTCAAGTATTTCAGAACAGAGGCCTGTGATTGAATCTTGGGTGCGATTGCTTCAAATCCTTCTGATTACGCACAAATCTTTCAGGTATAAAATTTGTTGATCAGCGCGTTGTTAGGTTTTTGCAAAAAATTGTTTACATTTGTGTTTGATTTGATGATTTGTAACTTTGATTATGGAAAAAACTTAGCGATTTTAAGAACAGTTTTGTGATGATTTGTCTCTGTTTGTCTTAATTATCATCTTGAACAATTGTATAAGTTTGGTTGTATTAATTATGAGGCTCAGTTTCGTAATCACTTTTTGCTAATTCACAACTCTTAAAGCTGTTTTGTGGCTCGATCTCTTTGTGTATACTTTGAGTAAGAGTTAACTGTAATTTGCGAGTTGCAGAATAATATCAGAAAGCTTACTGATCAGCCTATCACAACTGAGAAGATAAAGAGAGTTGTTCAAGAGAGCCTGAAAGGTAATATTTTATTAGAAACACAGTAATTGTTATTACCAAATCTTGTCCAATGCTTAGGAACTAACTAAATTTTGGTGGCTGAGTGGTTTTGTGGAAGTGAAAAAGAGATGATATCTGTAGTGTTCTAATGTCCACAAGATGTTAGCTAGCTCTCTAATTGATGTGTGTCTTCTTAGTGGTTAGCAACACTTGATTATGCCAAATGGTCAGATTTTAGAAATTTTAAAAGTTTATTCTTGGAATTTCTCTGGGTTGGACATAATTATAACTCTGTTATTTTTGTTACTTAAAAGTTAAAAAGTATGAATGAGAAGTAACCTCGTCTGAGTATATTAGTTTCTCGTAAATTTTACTTTCTTGGCTCTAATTTGATTGTTTTAGGTATGACTTGCGTACTTTATATTTTTCTCTGCTCAAAGTAAACAAAATGTTTTGTTTTCAGAAGAAGGAGATGCAAAGAATTTGAAGGGGACTTGGTATAGCTGAGAACAACTGAGTTACTGATGCTTTGATGGCAGTGACATAACTCGGTCACGGTATCACCCTCTCTCTCTCTCTGATCAAAAACACAGCCAAAAAAGTTCTTACAATCAAAACACTAAACGCACGAAAAACAGAACACAAGCAAAACAAAAACTTCAAAAAACACACACAAACAAAATACAAAAATACAAAAGTAAATTCCACAACTTCACCATCACATAAACTACACAACTCCACGTCCACATAAACTCCATAAACTCCACGTTCACATAAACTCTAAGTTCACACAACCTTCATGTTCACATAAACGCCACGTTCACATAAACTCCACGTTCACACAACTCTTCACGTGCACATAAACCTCACTTCACGTTCACATAGAGTTTGTTATTTTGATTCCTCTGCAACATATATGATATGTATGATTGTATTTGGCTCCGTACACTCCAGTCTCTCGGATTCAACCAAGACAATTCAGTATTAAGACAGTTGGTTCAGAATTTTCCTGTACATCAGGCGATCCAAATGTTCTCTTCTGCGCCAACATCTATTTTGCAGAATTCAAATATCTCAAGAGGAACGGGAGCAGAAAAAAATGAACAATGGCTGGTGGACTTGCATTGAGGTACATTTCTTGTTAAGACAATCTGCATGAACAAAACATTTGTATTCTATTCGCGGTATGTTATTCAGTTTGTGTGACTTACTAATAAAGGTCATTGATTTCAAGAGAAATAGATAAGGTCAACTAGTGAAGATGCAGCTTTGCAATTACTAGTAGAAACAATGCCTTACATGTGACATGCCAGTATAATGTGAGCTGAGCAAGCAACCAAATGTCGACAGGGAGGATTCTGTAACTTTGTTTTCTTGGGTTTCATGATCTTTTAAATGTATATACTGTATATACAACTTGTACTTTTAACTTATTTCTACTTTTTTTATGTAGCTTATATTAGCTGTTAAATAAGAAAGAGGATAAGTTTCAGATGCGCATGATTGATAAGGTAATCATGCTAAATCTTTTTTCATCACTTTATACTATTTTCTGATAGAACCAATGTGAGTTTATGTAAACTACTTCAATGTATATTCCAAGTATTAAAGGTTCTCAGTTATAATTTTCCATTTATTCAGTGGATAGCTCTCACCTGGTTAAGGTTCTCAGTTATAATTTTCCATTTATTCAGTGGATAGCTCTCACCTGGTTTCACAATTATTCCTCAGGATTAGAGAATGAGAATGTTATTGTTTTCTTGTCTATTTTCTCAAATTAAGTAGTGTGGTTTCATCTATTTGATGTAGATATGACATCAACTTGTTCATTACTGATGTGTAACTTTCACGAATATAACTTCGTGTGAGCCTGCTGATGTATCTATTAAAGAGTTGGTAAAGCCTAAACATGAATGAATAAGGTAAGCTTCTGAAACAAGTTGATACTTGGTATATAAATTTCTTAGAATTTCGGCCAAAGATAATAAACCGTTTGTCCTCTTTTTCAAAATTGATGTGTAACTTTCAGAAACATAACTTTGTGTGAGCCTGCTGATGTATCTGTTAAGGAGTTGGTAAAGCCTAAAGAGGCTTGAATAAGATAAGCTTTTATAATGAGATGGTACATGGTATATAAATTTCTTCGAATATCGGCTAAAGATAACAAAGACTGTGGTTTCTAGTGTTTAGTGTCGTATAACATTTTTTTGATTGAATCTCCATTTCAGGACTAACGACACTTAATGATGTTAGTGACATATCAGAAGTCTATATAGGAGAGCCAACCATTTTTTTTTTTCCAGTTCTCGTTAAGGTAATTTGATTTCATACCATGTTCCCTTAGTATATTTGCCCCTTTACACTTCTCTATTAACAATAAGTATAAGAGTGGTATGCAGTGTTTTCCCAAGGATTTTTCCCAGTGTTTTCCCATTAAGTATAGGAGGTGCCAGTTTTTATGGAGTATCTAGAATATTTAAAGTTCTGGTAAGTTGGGCACATAGATAAGGCTTCTCATTTGAGTTTACACTGACAGGTATTGTAATGAATTTTTCTGACAATTATTTTTTATCGCAGAAAAGCATGGAAATAACTTAACTAGGTATGTTCCAAGATCTCTTAAGAAAAGAACAATGGCTAGTGAGGACTTGTACTGAGGTACATTGTCTTGTCACGCATCTTTTTAAGTCAATCCGCGTTGCTACCATTTTTCTAAGCTTGTTGACATCTTCTGTTTCCAATATAGCATTCGTCACTCACGTTCATTTTGGGTATGGGATATGAATCATTGTGCCAATAGTTATGATATGCATCATGCCAAGGGAAATAATTAAGTACGTACATAGGTTAGTAAAAGTCAGAACTAATGCTGAAAGAAAACGAGTATTTACTTTCCAGTGTATTCAGGATCTTATTCAAGACCACTTCTGCTTCCTGGAAAACATTTAGTGAAGTCTATAGCATTACAAACAACGTCAATCAAGTGATCTGTAAAAGGAGGGTTTGGTATAATATGTTTTATTTCTTGGCTAATAATTTGACTGTAGAGACTTTACATTGTGATTATAATTCTGAAAGATAACTCTGCTCAAAGTAATAACAATGTTCTATTTTCTTGTAGGATCAGCAAAGAATTTGGAGATTATTTGGTGTAGTCAAGAAGAAGTGACTCTTGGAAGACGTAACTGAGTTATGGTAAAACTTAACAAAAACACAAAGCACAACCAAAATACAAATAGGGATTAAACTTAAAACACACACCAAACAAAAAAACATATACACAAAAAGTACACAGATTCATTTAAAATAGATGCAAAAAAACTCCATAGTTTCACGTATACGTAAACTCTACAATTTCACGTACACGTAAACTCCAAAACTTCACGATCACATATACTCTACAATTTCACGATCACGTAAACTCCACAATTTCACGATCACGTAAACTCCGCAATTTCACGATCACATAAACTAATTTCACGATCACATAAACTCCACAACTTCACGATCACATAAACTCCACAACTTCACGATCACATAAACTGCACAACTTCACGATCTCGACAATGTCAATTAGATTGTTTTTTCGATAGTTCTTTTGAGCATCGATGACTTGTATGATTATGATTCAGTTCTTGTTTAGATATCTCCATCATTGCTATATATTTTTGTTAGCAACTATTACAGTGCTTATATATTTTCTTTAGTTTATTATATATTTTTTGTTTTTTTTTTTAAAACATTATTCATATTTGATTTTCATCTTTAGTACATAAATAATATGGTAATACCATTGTGATTAAAATTCCAAAAGATATACGGATCCCATTCTAAAGTTTCAGAGTAATTTGTAAACATGAAAAGATTGGGGCTCCTTCCCATATTTTGTCGATATTTAGTAAAAA